TCTCTTCGCCGGCAGCTTTCGAGCGGAGAGCCTCCACCTCAGTCGAGAGCTTTGCGTTTTGAGCGGACAGCTTGGTTACTTCCTCTGCCAAGCCTTTGAGCTCCACGGCAGCCGCCGTTGCAAGCTCTTTCGCGTACGCTGCCTCGTCCATAAGCTTTTGGCCTTTGGCTTCCAGCATAGTCTTCTCTTCGGCCAAACGCGTCTTTTCTAGCTTCAACTTTTCAATCTCGTTCATCTGGAAAAGAACAACACTTAGAAGATGTTATATACATACTAAAGCTATTACCACACTACCTGTGAAAACAGCTGAGATTGCAGAGGAAAGCCAGCTCCGGGAATAATCTTTGAAGCAAAGCCTTGGGCAAAGTTAGCATCACCTCCGTTCTCAACCATTCTCAGCTCCCGGGACAAGTCAACGTCATTCAGCCACTCGCTAGTTTCTTCCGAATCGAAGAAACTATGCCCTTTCTTGTGGCTATCAGATCCAGCTTTCTTGTGAATGGACGCTTTTTTCTCGGCAACAGCTTGCTGAAGCTGTTGTTTGAGGGAGTGGATTGTAGATTGCAGTTCAGTGTTCTCAACGTTCTGAAATAAAGGGCACAATGTAAGACGTAATAGCCGTCTTCCTTGTTACCTTGGATTGCAGTTGTTCTTGCAGAATGCGGTTGTCTGCTGCTTTTATCTGAAAAAATCGAAGCATGAGTCTAATGTATACTGCTACCACTGTATACCTCCAGCTCAAAAGATTTCTCGTTTAATTGACTGGTAAGCTTCATCATCGTCTGAAAAGCAATTGCTTGGTAAAAGAAGAAGGAAACGTAAAACGAAAAAGGCTGCATACCTGGGACAATTGCGGCGTGTTGGCAGGCGCATTTTCTACACTTCCTAAAATCCTTCGCTCCAATACCTGCATTTGTTGCCTCTTCATAGAAATTTCTTCCTTAAGTCTCTTCATTTGAACCTTAGAATAAACAGATGGATTTAGTTATGCAAAAGAGAAAAAGGTAAACGCTTACTTGAATATCTCCATCATCTGGTGTCAAAGCGGACTGTTCGGAGAGCCTCTTGAGTGAACTGCTGCAGAATGCGACTTCGCCAGCAAGCATCTTGACTTGCTCTTTTAAAAGATCCATTTGGTCCGCCATTGTGGTTCCCGTCTGTGATAGAGACCACTATCAGTACCTTAAAAGTGAATCAGTAGCTTTCATACATACAGGTGGGGGCCTTCGACCGTAGACCGCAGCACTGAAGAGTTCACCAGCTTGAGTAGGCTCCAGAAAAGCATCTGCAAGCTCGTCGCTTTTTACTCTCATGAGGGGCTTTCGCTTCGTGGCCGTGTTGTCATCTAAACGTCCGGTTGGAGAAGGGATGTCGGAGTCTGTGCGGCTGTGAAGTTGCTCGTGTTTCTAGCATAAACAAGATTCTCACTAAAAACTTGGCATAGCTTCGAGATTGTTTTACCTTGGTTTTGAACCATCCAAGCATTCCGCGCTTCTTCGGCTTCTTGTCATCCTTGTGAACATCATCGCCGTTTGCACTTTCTGATTTCCCATCCGATGATAATTCCGGCAAGTCGACATCAAGTTCGTCGTCTTCGTCGCCAATAAACCCGCGTCTTTTATCGGGTAGATATGCAAGCTGAAAATGGAAGTATGTGAGAGAGCGTAGCCAGCTACCAGATAAAAGACAAGAACACACTACACACCTCTTCCTCTCCAAAAGAATATCGCCGGCGGTGTGTGGGACGATCTGGAAGATTTGGAATGGTGTTCTTTGTAGACACCAATATAAGCTTGGTGAGCCTCTGAATCCGGCCCAGTAATGCAGCTTTGGCTTGCTCTTCTTCTTCGAGCCGCGATTGTAGCTTGACTTGTCCAGCTTCCAACTGCAAAAGTTTCCCCTTTAAACATGTTCTCGCAACTTTTGTATCAACAAACCTGTTGACGAAGTTGGATGACGTCATCGTTTGTGCCTTCCACAAATGGTTTTCCAACCATGCCTTTCCGTAGCTGCTCCAGCTCTTGTTTTAGGCTTGTTATCTCTTTCTGGTACTTTTTGATCAACGACTTCTCATCAAGAATCTGGAGAGAGAGAGAGAGAGAGAGAAAATGATAAGCGAATATTAGCATGGATCTCACCTTGTTCGCGGAAGAGTGAAGCTCCACATGTTTGGCACGATGAGCAAACTTGAGGGTGTTGTGTGTCTCCTCATTGCTGCTTGATGCAGGTGTGACTGTGCAGATTAACTGGACAAGTTTTGCGACTTATATCAGAATGACAAGAAATGCTCAGAGCTGTACCGACACACGCCCGTGGCCACTCAAGGACGATTGCAAAAGCCTTGTTAGTTTAGAATCCCGGTAAGGTATATGAGAAGATTTCCCGTCTGTCAATTTGGATATTACCTGATAGAAACAAAAGACAAAAGATTATTCTAGCTACTAGCAGATTGCTCTTACCGTGCCAAGTGTTAGCAAGCTTTTGTTAATGTAGGAGCCTTCCTTCCTTCGCAAGCCAACTGTTTCCGCCTTTGAGCTTTCAGAACCGGCCAAGTCGATAAGATTCTGTCGGTCAAAAGAAAGTTCAGTCATCTAATGTAAATCCTTTTTACTAGACACTCACGAGTTGAGAAAGAGTAACTTCCTCCTCTCGACTTCCTTCTCCTCGCGCACTGCTCTCCACAGTCTTGTATAAATGAACGACGTTAGACAAATAAAGAGGATGAATATAATCACGTCAGGGACCGACCAGAGTAAAAATCGTGTGACTCCGGCTGCTCATCAAGTTGAGGTTGTTGGATCCAACATGACGATGCTCTATAAACAAAAAGGCTGTCAAGATATTTCAATTCTCAGATTATGCCCGTGTACCTTCTCCGGTGGCAATCAATGAGAGTGCGTGAGCAGGAGATAACACAACTTCTTCTTTTATACCCTCCACATATGTGCCCTGCAAGCCACTTTGAATACCAGAATTATATACAGCAGGCCTAAGTGTCAATACAGAAACTTACATGAGAATCCTCCCGAACTCTCAGATTTTGTCCAGCTGGGTTGAGCAAGTCGTTGATAACCTGCGTAAGACGTGAGCCAACACGGCTAACATTTTCTCAGCCACAAACCTCGTTGTAAATCTCGAGATAGGACACCCGCAAGAGGAACTCTCTTCCTGGCGACTGCATAGTACCATAAGGATATAGCAAGGAAATAAAAGACAAGATTAGAATCTACACCTCTTGTATTATATTGAAGACGTCCTTCACTGCCAAAGGTATAATTCCTGGAGATTTCTGATCGCCCTGTCAACAGAGAACAAGAACCAAATGACCTGGGACGGACGGAAAACTGTCAAAACACTTACGTGCATTGTATGTGTCTTGCCGCTGCTGGTGACTCCATACGCAAAGACAGTTCCTGGGAGAGGCGACAAAGGTTGAGCGATAAGTAGAAAGAGGCCTACGTACGAAAATACCATTAACTCCCTCCATCGCGCCACTAACAACCTGTTGAGCTGCAATGTCATAAACACCTCGCGTCGTTGTTGCTGGTCCAAACACTTTATCTGTTTGCAGGCAGTCCAGCCCGTTCAAGACAAGATCTCCTTTCTTTCCGAGGACTTACCAAACGCATAAACGGTAGAGGCGTTGTATTCGCTGCAAACAGACGTATCCCCGTCGGCGTACCACGCAACCTCATCACCCTTCTGAATTTCTCTGGAGCTGCGCAAAACAAGCCAGTTGTAAGCTTGTGATGCTCCAAAAGGAACAAAGTAAAAGTGGAAAGGCCATAAACTCGGAAGAGTAGCGAGCGAGCTCTTGATTGACTAGAGAGCCACCACTTACTTGAGAGGTCGAAATCGCACGGTGACAGTGACATTCTCCTTGTTGAATTTGGTGGTGCCGCTGCCCAAGTCGGAGGACGATGATGTGGTGGTGGTGGTGGAGGAGGAGAACGAAGCCGAGAGCGTGGAGCTGGGGCTGTTGAGCTTGGAGAGGGCCTGCATTCTGGGCGGAGGAGGGAGCGACGAAGCTCTAGCAACAGTGGACGATGGCGGCTGCCTAGATCCTGAATTCAGCGACGGAAGAACCGGGGGCTTTCCATTGGCAGCCGCGGAGGTGGGCGGCTTGTAGCGCATCGGGGATCTCGACCTCGCAGCCATGGCCGGAGCTCCTCTGAAAAGAATAAGCTAACTCGACTGCTACCTACATGGTGAGCTGTGTAAGCCCCTTTGGCGCTAGGATCAGCGGCCCAACCTGTGTGACAATCGAGGATCGAGCTTGCTTCCTCCCGCTGACCATGAATCGAGGGAGGCCGGGGCAAAAAATAAGAAGAATAGAAAAGCTTGAGCAATAGTAGAGAGGTCGGCAACGGAACCGGCGCCGCCAGTGACCCAACAAAGACGAGCAAAGCGAAGAATGAGAATGAATGGCCCCACCCGTTTGCCGTTGCGTCAAGGCAGGGGTTTAGGGTTTGTGCCAGTGGAAAATTAGCTTAGCCATCGCCGCTAGCTCGCCCATTACCGTTTGTTTCGTCTCGGTGTGTGCCACTCCCTCCCATGACGGAGGAACGAGTTGTTGGATTGCAAGCATCGCGAGCGTGGGTGCAACGTTAACACCCAAACCACCATGCGCATGCATGCATGCATGCATTTTCAAGTTAAAGCTTTAGGGCACAGAAAAAGGTGGTGGATGGAGAGGGAGGGAGTGGGTCAGTCGCACCAGCACGCACCCCAATCCCTGGATCAGTCACGCGCGTCTCGGCTGCCACCACTCAACTTCAAGTAGGTGAAAACAAAAGGCGGGAGAAAACATTAAAATCTGGGCGATCGAAAATGCCAAGCCCAGCTGCAGCAAGAGAAGTAAAAAAGGTGGCAGAGCAGAGGCTTCCCACCCGTACGCCCTAGCAACATGCCGTACCCACGGTACTGGTCCGCCCTACATCTCCCATTGGCGCGGGCCGGAAGCATATACCCCCAACGCGTCGGGATGTGGACCGTCGGATGCGCAGGTCCTCACACTCTCTCACAAACGCAAAGCTCCGATTAGGGGGGCCATGGAGAAGGGGGGCCATCAATTGCGGCGCCTCCACCTGCTGCTCGCGCTCGCGGGTTGGGGATGGGGATGGACAGCGCAAGCATTGCCGTCAAACAGGAGCGCGCTGCTCCTGGCCCAGCGGATCAACGAACGCGAGGGCCCGTTTCTAGGTCTGGTTGTGCCCACGAGCTTCGAGATGGATGCCATTCGCCAGCAAACCATCTTCGCCCCGCACCCCTACATTCCCTGGCTCGACCTCGCCGGTGAGTTTGCTCGCTCTCAACCTCTATAGGCAAGACTAAAGTCCCATTCCTTTTACTCAGGGCGACGCTTCCACATTGGAACAATTCAAGGTCACAAAGTCGTTCTTGTGCAGTCTGCCTCGGCAATGGTAAGCATCAAACAGAAGCAATCGATATAATCGGTGGTGGTGTTTTCTTCTTAGCTCAATGCAGCGATCACCACGCAGCAACTGCTCGACTTTTTCGATATCAACGGAGTGCTTCACTACGGCATTGCTGGAAGCGCAAATGATTCCCTGACCATCGGAGACATAAGCATTCCAAAATACTGGGCTCACACAGCCTTGTGGAATTGGGAGGTAACGTCTACGTCATGTCATGCGTTCATGCTGCTTGTCTCTCTTTTTTTGTTATTTTCCTCTTGTGTTTCCCGTGGTCTCTGTTTGATCGTTTCTTTTTTCAGAAGTTTAGTAACGGATCGGGTCACCTCTTGTCATCAGGACCAAACGGAGATTTCACGCAGGATCTGGGACACCTCCACTTCAGCGACTTCGCGTACCCAAACAATGGCCACCGCCAGAATCTACTCACCAGCGTCTGGATTCAACCCGAAGACGTCTTGAAAGTCAGCGGGACTCCCGAAGTGCGCAGCCGAGCGTTTTGGGTAAGAGTGGACAAGCGTTTCTACAAAGCCGCGAAAACTCTCGAGGCAAGTACCTAGTGAATTTCATGGAAGAATTTCGTAAGCGACCATCCTTCCACCCTCGTAAACGCAGGGTATGGAGCTCACGTCGTGCTTCAATGCGACAACATGCCTGAGCATTAGACCCAAAGTCGTGGTGGGTCTCAGGGGAGCCAGCTCCAACGTCTTCGTCGACAACGCTGCGTATCGACAGTTCATGTTCCAAACCTTCCGAGTCTCCTCGGTAGACATGGAATCTGCTGCTGTAGCTCTGGTGAGTTGACTTACTCTGGATTTCCCACCGGGTTCTTACAAAAGTTCTCTCGCCTCTCGCCTTGCCCAGGTTTGCTACTCCAACGAGGTGCCCTTCATCGTCATAAGGTCCATATCGGATTCAGCCGGGAACTCGGAAGGAGCAAACGAGGTGTCGGCGTTCAAGAACCTCGCGTCGCTCAACGCTGTCAAGGTCCTCACGCAGTTTCTCAAGGCCCTGCCCAAGCAAGATTCGCCCCACGACCAGGGAATGATTCTCATGTAGAAAAGATGCTCTAGGTACTTGGAATTTTAAAGACGTTGTCAACGGTCACTTTTCCTGCCTAGGGTTTTCTTTCTGTAGCCTCTGCTAGGGCTGCGAGAGCGATGGCGACGAAATTGACGTCCGTCCTGAAGCCGCGCAAGAAGGGCATGTCTCCGCAAAAGAAGAAGAAGAAGATCATCCTGTCCGACGCTGATCAGGCTATCGGCGCCAGCGAGAAGCGAGTCGCGAGAGCTCTGGTGTACCCCAGCGCGAGCTCAACAGGTAAGCACAGGCGAGAGCCGCCGCGCTACCCACTATCTCAATAGAAATTGAGATTATTGTGTGTCTTAGATGTTGCGGAGGATGAGGACGATGTGGAGGAAATGCTGCGGCAATTCGATCTGGACGCCAAGTTTGGCCCCTGTGTGGGGTTGTCGCGGATAGAACGGTGGGAGAGAGCCCAGCGCCATGGCCTGTGCCCGCCCCAAAACATCAGGGATGTTTTGGAGCGCGTGGGTGGCGAGCCAAACTGTCTCTGGGAAGGCAGGGTTTAGGCTTTGCTTCAATGCCTCGGTTTGAAGCTCGTCGTCGTAAGATATATGTAGTGTACGTACTTTGGTGACTAAACTGTTTGCACGTGAACTTGGAAAGCTCCTCTCGCTTTTTCGTTTGTTTTTTGGTTTCCTTTCAAGTTCGCTCCTTTCTTTTTCTTTCTTGTTTTTTGTTTGCTAACGACAGATGCTTTCTGGTCGCTGGCAACGGCTGCATTGATCAATCTGGCAATCTTCCTCCTTCATGTGAGGGCCAGGCACGCTCGCTCCAGCAGCAAATCACATGTGATTTCTCTGTAGCAATCTCTCGTCTCATTCAAACAAACACAATCTCACTCGGTTTCTTTTTCCTCGGCTTCTGCAGGTTGGGAAAGGTTACTGGTTGAAGGCTGCGCAGTTTATCCGGATGTTGCCTTGTGAAGCCGACTTGACGCCGATGCTGCCCAGCTTTTGCATCGCGGAGGCGAACGCCGCGAAGAATTGCTCCTGCGACGCCGCAAACCTGTTCACCAGAGGCTTCGTCTGGGGGTCGTTAAACAGGGCCTGGTCGGTGCTCAACAAACCCAGTCCCTTTTGCAAGTTTTGGTAGTAGACGTTGTCGAACTTCTTGGATGTTGTTACGTCCAAGTTGGCGACGATGGTTGGATCCACGTTGCGGGGACAGGCCAGCCTCAAGTTGGCGGCATACAGCGGATTCATGGTGGGATCAATGCGGGACGTATTCTTCCAGTTGTAGATGCGGTCGTTGAACTCTTTGCAATGCGCAAAGCCGGCGGTATGTGCTCCTGCACCCACCCCGAGACATTCGGCAAGCAAGCTTCCCAATTGATCGATCCAGGCAAAGAATCCTATTCAGAGTGCTACTTACCGGCCAGTGCAACCATTTCTTCGGTGGTGAATCCTTTGGACGAGAAGAGATGCATGAGCTCCGAAACTGTGTTCTTGGACGAAGGCAGGTTGCCGGGGACTCTGGCAGCATACGACGTGTAGCTGTCTTTGCGGCCTTTCTTCACCGGCCAGAAGGGGCCTCCAATCTGCAAAACCAAGCCTCAGCTTCCTTCTGCCCCTGTGGAGGACGACAACGTACCATTCCAATCAGGTCTCTCGACGCAATTGCGAGAATGTCGGCACACGAGACTGTCCTCGGGCATCTGTTCTCGACAGCCTGCTTGGCTCGCATAACGGCGTCGAAACCATCGCCCGGAAGTGAGAGGTTGATGTCGAAATCCTTCTCGGCTTTGTTGCGGGAGGTGGAGGCGGCGAGGACGGAAGCATCACAACCCTGGAGGGGGGAAGGAAAGGTATGTACATTGAGCTTGTGAGCTGAATTCTTCTTACCTGGACCATGCAGTCATGAAAGAAGATGCGCAATGTCCCAGCGGCTGCCACGGGCGCCTCCCTGAACTTCTGGACCATGACTTGGTGGACAATCTTCTCCACGTCTGGACAGGAGCGCTTGTAGTAGTCCACACTCAGGAATTGCTGCTGCTGCCGCTGCTGGTTTTGCGTTTGATTTTGCAGCTGAACCCCAGTGGCACTCTGTGCTGCTTCGTGCAAAACCAGCAGCATTACCAGGAAGAGATGCAAAAGCCGAGCTGCGTCCATCGCTCAACGATTTCGTCGCAGCAGGGGAGAGGAGAGGACCATTTAAATATAAATGGGGGTTTTCTCGGCTATTCGTGAAGGAGCCGGGGTGGCTCGGCTAAGGTAGGTGAATTGAAGTATAAACTCTGCCTAAAGTTTTTCTTTTCCCCGCTCTTCGATGTTGACAACCGCTCCTGTTTTGGATTTATATCCCCCAGACAGGAAGGATGCATTTCAACGCTCAATTTTACCATGAAGGTCTGTTTCAATTAATGGCTTGTCTTTTTTTTTTTAAAGCTTTTCTCGCTTCGAAGTTCAAGAAATTAGCTTGCTTTGAAGTCACTTGAAGGGCTCATGGTTGGTTTACCAACTGAGCAAACGACTTGGATCTTTAGAGCAGCTCTCGCTACGTTTCGTCACAGCAAGCAAGCGAGCGAGAGCCAGCGAGCGAGCCAGTTTGTGATCGATGAGAGGTGGGTCTGATTGCAACGGGACAATTACGAGCGTAATGCGTGGTATTGTTTGGAATCTAGCCAGCGATGGTGTGTATGTCAAGACAAAAGGAAAAGAAGAAAAAAGCCTTTGCAGCGTAGTACCTTGTCCTCCAAAGTTTCTTGTGCTTAAAAGACAAGGCATGGTTATCAACGGTCTTGTCAGCTGAATTAGGGCAAGCGGAGGGAAGGGATGAATGCGTCCACGGATCCATCGCCTTTGGGCACCCCTCGTGTACCGTCCAGCCGCCATGCCCGGCCCTCCTCCTCCAACAGCCCTTTGCGCCCGTCTTCGGCCAGGAGCCTCGTCAAGGGGCGCCCCGCCACACCAGGTCTGCTTACACGTTCTTGGATCGTTTACACCTTGTTTCCGACCAGGCTCTCCGAGCATCAACACCGATGTCAAGGTAGAGTCTCGGCCTATCACGCAGCAAGGGATGATAAGCATGCGATCCTCTTTTCAAGGTTGGTCCCTTGTATCTTTGGTAACATTGATTTACATCTTTGTCTGAGGCTCTAGGCCCTGGCCGACAAATTCTCGACCGGTCCTACTACGTAGGGAAATTGCGCTCCAAGAAGCAAGAGCTGCAGCAAGAGATCGAGCGAATGGTGGAGGAGGTTGAGCAACTGGAGAAGGAGAGGTTCGCCAGTGTGCATGTCGGGCAGAAGTAAGGACTTTGGAACTGTAAGGACCAATTCTTACGAGACCTTGCAGGCAGAAAGCTCTAGCGGAGGAAGTGCAGGGACTGAAGCTGCAGCTGCTCGACTATACTGTAGTCATGGAAAAGGTTAGCGCAAACCGGAGGCTTCATGTGGTATGTAACTTGTTGAAGCAGGTAAATGCAGGAATGGAGCCCGATGAACTGAGGGAGGAGCTCGAGGCTCTGAAAGAGAGAAACGCAAAAGAAACAAAAAAAGTGGACAAGCTTTTTCTGGAGAGAACGCTGTGAGCCTCTTCGTGTACAAATCATTCTGCAAAACTGATTCGACGATCAGGAAAGAGAGGGAAGGTAAGGAGCTCCATGACAAAGCGCAAGGTTTGGATGTTGAAATCGAGCACAAGATCGCGGAGGAGGTGTGGTTCTTTAGGCGATGTCTCGGAATTTATTGTCTCCGTTTTAGCCTTGCAGGCACCGGAAGCAAAGGTGCAGTACGTGGAACTCCAGCAAGAGTACAGGAAACTGGAGACAGAAGTGGAGAGACTGCAATCACTTATTGGCGAGATCGGCACGTCAAATGAAGAGTTGGAACAGGCGAGTTGTGGATTTGCTATTTGCTGATTGATGCTCAAGATCTATATATATTTCCAGAATGTTTTCAAGTCCAATCCTACAAAGCAGAAGCTTGTCATGCTGACTGACCAGCTTTTAACTGTCGAGGGAGAGCTTGAGAAATTGAGGATGGAAAACCCGTCGATCAAGCTAACGGCTGAGGAGGCCAAGGAAGCGCTCCTGTCCAAGGTAACGTGACACCCGTCTTGCTTTCATGCGTGCCTCAAGTTGCAAGCTTTGAATGAGCAGATTAGGCAGGATAATCTGGAGATCATCAAAGCGGAAGAGAAAAGCCAAGTACTTGAGAGCGAAATACACTTTCACGAAGGGAAAATTGCCGAAGCAGAACGGTCCATTTCAGAACTAAAAGGTGGCTTTTTTTTTCTTTTTTAACTATCTTATATCGCATTTATTTTTGTTTATGGTCCAGGCGGAAGGATTGAGAAATTCCTAGAAATGCAACAGAAAGAACGGAAGATGCAAAACTATATCGAAAACTTTGATAGCCTCCGAGAAGAGCAGGAAAACCGGACATTTGAAGCTCAGCAAAAAATCTGTGAGCTGCTACATCTGATTAGTCAGGTCTGTTTTGTTCCATATTTTCTTTGAAGAAAAACTCCCCATTTTACAGGGAATAGTGGCAGCAGAGAGCTACAAGGCATCAAAAACAAATCACGAGAAGAAGTTTGAAGATGTTGAGAACTACAAAAGAGGTAACTAAGATGTCGGTGATGAGCATCTATTTCCTTTGTGATGCAGAGCTGGAGTTTCATCGCGGGGAATTGAAGCAGCTGGACGATTTAGAAGCCAGAACCGAGACGGACATATCATGCACAAAGCAGGCCATCAGTTTGCTCGAAAACGAGATGGAAGATTTCAAACGCCTCGATGGGAGCAGATCCCAGTGTGATGCGAAATGCGCGGTAAGTGGACGTGGAGTGTTCTTCTGTTGCTAGACTTAACATGATAGCGTGTACGACGCGAGCAGAAATTAGAAGCCGAGAAGCAGAAGATCGAGGAGAAGAAGGCATTTCTCCAGGAGCAAGTGAGGGAGCAAGTCGAGAAGCTCGAGGCTTTCAGCCAGATTTTGGATGACAGCGATCTGCATAGGAACCTGGAGGACTTGAAGACGAGGTTCCACGCGTTACAAAGCAGCAACCAAGTGCTCCAGGAAGGTTGTCTCCAAAAGTAGAAGACGATCTGTGACCAGTTTCACACCTCTTTGTTCTTGCAGAAGTTGAGACCAAGGAGCGAGAGCTAAACTACGGCCTTGTGCTGGAGAACATACGGTTCATGGTCTCGCAGCTCAACAGCGAGATCAAAAATAGCCAGATGCAAAGCTATTGATACTTCGCAAACTTTCACCAAAGGCCTGGAAAGGAAATATTAATTTAAACAGTGAATGAATCGATATCTAGGGTTCTTAGTTTTCCTTGTTTGTGGCAATGGCGGAGGCTCAGGTGAATGGAGCCGCAGCAACGGCGCCAGCAGCGGCGCCGCCATCGTCAGCAGCTCCGGCAGCGCCGCCAGTGGCAGCGGGCGACGACAAGGGCGACAATTGGCGATTCATCCCGCCGCAGTCCGTGAGGGAAGATCAAGTCCAGAATGCTGTCAATTTCCTCTCCCATCCCAAGGTGAAGAACTCCCCCGTTGTCTACAGGCGATCGTTTCTTGAGCGCAAAGGCCTGACCAGAGAAGAAATCGATGAGGCATTTCGGCGAGTCCCGGTATATATGTGCTTGTTCCATGCCTCTCTTGATACTGAGAGCTTCTTTCCAGGATCCACCGTCTACTACTTCCGCTGCTCCCGTTCCAGCAGCTCCAACGGCGGGCCCTGTTACTGCTGTGGCATTGCCCGCACAGACTGCTGCTGTGGCTGTGGTTCCAAGAAAGGGTGCTCGATGGACACAAGTGGTTTTGGCTATTGGGGTGCTTAGTGCGGCTGGAGCAGGAGCAGCAGTCGTGACAAAGGTTTCTTTTTTTCCCCGTGTTGGCGCTTGACACCTTCTTTGTTCTTGCAGACTTATTTGTTTCCAAGAATGAAAGCTTGGCTGCGTCGTATTGTTCTTGACGAGGAAAGCTCAGAGCAGAAGAAGTCAAGACTGGACGTGGAGGCATCCAAGGCTTCTGCCGCGTTAACTGCTGCCACTACGGAAATGGCTGCGCTTGTGAGGGAACTCGTGAGCTCCAGACACGAAGGTTGCGCTTCTTGATTGATTATTGAGAGTGTACTCAAGCCGGTTTGTTCACAGAACGTCGGTACTTTGACACTGTTGTCAAGTCCATGGAGGCGCAAACGCGGGAAATCAAGCTGCGGCTTGACACATTGATCCAACTCCAGAAGAAAGGAAATATCACTTCCAGCGAAACCAATGTCTATAAAGGTCTGCTCGTCCTTTTTCTTGGTGTCTCTTTCTGATGCATCTTCTCGTTTTCATCTGCAGCACAAGTACCAAGAGACGCAAAGGTTTGTGTTTCTGTACATTCTTTTCATTCACAGATTTCTTTACCTTCAGGATTCTACTGGAGTGGCTTTTGAGCCTGCAAGGCCTTCCTCTGCTCCCTACAGTTTTGATCCCGACAGGTTTGCTCCATCGGCTAAATACTCTGAGGTACAGCTGAATAGTTCTAGCTCTATTTTCCTGATTTCTTACGTGAAAATTTTTAGATCTTGGCCATGGTCGAGCGGGGTGAAAAGCCACCAGGCATACGGGTAAATGTTTTATTTTATTTTTCTTTTGTGGAGCGAAGCCGAACAATCTTTCTTTCTGTCAGGATGTGAATGATAAACCTCCAAATCCCACTCAGCCGGCATCTAACTCCATGTTGCAGCCTAAGACCAAGGTAAGGCGTCACACCTCCTTTTGTTTCTTGTTTACTACGGTCTTCTTCTGGTGCAGCCGTGGGAGAGTCATGTACCGTCAGAAAACGGTGCAAGCGCCCAACCATGGTGGAGACAGAGGGATGGAGACGCCAAAATAACAGAGAACTCAGTGAAAATTGTGGAAATGGAGGACCAGGACACGGTTAGCAGTGATGGTGCTTTTAGTGCATCTCCACAGATTGAGACCGCAGGCAGGGCATGGGTTCCTCCACCCGTTCCAAAGACAATTCTACCGGGAGTTGATGCTGCAATCAGACATAAGTCTCCGAGTCCAGTTTCTTATCCGAGCTACGACAATGTGCATAGCAACGGGACTAGCACTGACAATGCGGAGGGCTCGTCCAGTTCAGAGATCAGAGAGAGCACGTCTGAAGTTACAGTGGAAGAAGCAGAGTGACAGGAATTGCTTAGGTGGTGACATTAGCTAATTAGTCAGCTCTCTAGCTATAATCAAGGTCCACAACCTTACCTTATCCAGAGGAGCTAGGATCTATGGCGGACTCCTGGAGCTCTGGAGCTGTGCTTTTACCAGCCGCGCCGGACTCAAATTGGTGGGACAGGAAGGCATTCTCCGGAGCAGTGGTCGCGAAGTGTGAGAAGAACAGCTGCTACAGGATGTACTACTATGGACGGGCAAGGGACGAGTGGAACTTTGGTGTCAAGCCTTTCAACGTTTTCCTGCCAACGGGCCGCATCGGGATGGCTACAAGCGAAGATGGTTACAGGTTCGAGCGAGCCAAAGGCCCGCTGTACGAAGGAGCCGTGATGGATCCGTCAGATGATCCGTCGGCGTTCGACGCGGTGCATATCGGCGTCGGGGACGTGATCCGTCACAACGACAGGTGGTGGATGTTCTACTTTGGAGCAGGCATGGAGGAAGTGGCACTGTTTGGGAGCGTGCGGAGGGGTGTGAAGCTCCAGAGTGGGGTCGCAACGTCGGACGATGGACTGAACTTCGAGAGGATTGAGAAGCCGGTGCTATGCGTCGGGAAAGAGGGAGAGTGGGATCAAAACGGGGCATCGTGGCCGAGAGTTCTTCCTCCCCGGACAGCAGGAGATAAGTGGCTCATGAGCTACCACACGCGAGAGAACGGAGGCCACAACAACATGGGCTTCTTCTCGGCTGGAGTTGCGACCTCGGACGATGGCCTGTTGTGGCACAAGCAGGGAAAGGTGCTGGAGTGTGGCAAGCCCGGTTCGTGGGACGAAGGTGGCGTGTCCGTGCGGCATGTCTTGAGGATCGGAGACGAGTTCGTCATGTTCTACGAGGGATCCAACTATCAGTACGAGTTTGCGATCGGGCTGGCGACGTCGGAGGATGGTTTAGTGTGGAGGAGAGACGAGCAGTGCGGAGACGAGCCCGGGGGTCCGATCTTGAGAGCTCGGCGAGGGGAGGAGGTGTGGGACAATTGGATCGTTGCTACTCCCTATGTGGTGAAGATGGAAGATGGGAGCTTGAGAATGTATTATCTGGGGGTGGGGAAGAAGGAGGGCGAGGAGCAGCAGCAGCAGGGGATTGGACTGGCGCTGAGCGATGGCGATTTTAGAACTTGGAAGAGATACTGTGTCCCTTTTGAAAAGTTTGGATCATAAAGGAAACGAGAGACTTAAAGTCGAGTTTAGGGTTCCTGGTTCTTCGCTGCGAAGGCGACGATGGCGTTCAAGCAGCGATTGCACGAGGGCATGAAAAGTTTCGTGGAGCGAATAACCAGTCCTCGCACGGTCTCGGCATTCGTCGAGAAAGGCGTGCTGACTCCCGCGGAATTCGTCCAGGCCGGTGACAATCTCGTCGCCAAGTGCCCTACCTGGTCCTGGTATGATACGCTACCTAAAGTCCCTTGTTTACCTATTTTCTTCCTCCTCTTTCTCGCAGGGAGAGTGGCGACCCTTCCAAACAGAAGGGACATTTGCCGAAGGACAAGCAGTTTTTGATCACTAGGAATGGTAATGCCTTTGAGAAGCTTTTGGATAGAGTTTTCATTCTTTTTTTCCTTTTTAGTTCCATGCCTGCGACGAGCGGCCGCGTTTGAAGAGGAATACGCAGCTGCTGGTGGGGAAGTTTTGCTCGATGGAGAAGACGGGGAAGGCTGGCTAGCGACTCACGGAGCTCCTGGGGGTATGCTGTTTCGTTTCTAGCTCAAGTTTTGATTGCCAAGTTCCAGGACCTCTTAAGGACGACGATGACACAGTTCCATCCATGGACATGGCGGACACAGAAGACAGACCTCAGATCCTGATCTCTGACGATACATACGTAAATCACGAGGATGATGTTCCGGATATGTCCGATTTTGATAGCTCCGATAACCTTGTGACGCGGGACGAGGTATTCACTTTGGAAAATTCCTTCTCTCTCTTTTTTTTTGTCAAATTCAGTTCATTACGCAGACTGCAGTACATGCACCCTATCTAATAGCTCATGAGCCGGATGATAACAATATCCTGCGTACTCGGACCTACGATATAAGCATCACGTAAGCTAACGTTCTAGAGTTTCAAGTTCAGTCCTTTTAAGGTACTCACTACAGGTATGACCAGTACTTCCAAGTTCCAAGAGTATGGCTAACTGGATATGACGAGGTAATTAAGCATTTTCGTCTGTGTTACATACAGTTTGCTGACATGCTGACATAACTTTGAACTCACAGTCTCGAATGCTTTTGGATCCCGAGCTCGTCTTTGAAGATGTCAGTCAAGATCATGCTCGACAGACTGTAAGTTGGAGAACGATGGGATTTTTATTGGAACTGATATTGGCATACAGGTTACAATTGAGGACCATCCACACATGGCTGGGAAGCATGCATCAGTTCATCCTTGCCGCCATGCCCCGGTTATGAAAAAGATCATCGCCATTTTGTTGTCACGAGGAGTGGAACCCGAAGTTGATAAGTATGATTTCCCTGCTTGGCTTGTTGACAGTGGACATTCTTGCGCAGGTACCTTTTTCTGTTCCTCAAGTTCATGGCGTCGGTCATTCCAACAATCGAGTACGACTATACGATGGAGTTCACGGTTGGAGCGTCATGAGGTACATAAAACCGGTACATTATCGGCGAGATAATGTTCTGTACAGTTTACACCTAGATAAATACCAAGACAGCGCATTCTTTAGAAGTTTCCGGTATCACGACGGCGTTTCTTTGGTAGGCACCTAGCGGCTGCGAGTCAACACGGGGAACACGACTGCGAGCAACGCATTCGCATAGCTACTAGCAAGAGTCAAGTGAGTAGCAGGACAAAGTTATGGCTGTAGGGTCCCATGTAGCGTCCAAAAGGACGATTGAGGAGGATGGCGGCTTTGCTCTGCTTCAGCTTCAAGGTACCAAGTTTGAAATTTTCTTGCCTCGTGGGGTTTCTCTTGTCTCAGAGGCTCCATTGCAGGATGTCGGTTCTTTAGAAATGCTACCAGTACTCTGCTGCTCTGTGTCGGATGATTCGGCCAATATCTCCGATGCAACTTGCGCGAACTACATCAAGAAAGTGCTTTGCTCGGTATGTGGATTGCTTCTTCTCACTGCTTGACTTGAGCTTTCGCTTTGCATGGGTAGAAATGCGACTCCTTCGCTGCTGAAAGGAGAGTGCGATCCGTCCCCCTGCTTTTGCTACTGAGCTTATCAAACAAGCGTAAGGAACCTGGTTACCGAAGGAGGAAATGATGGCTTTGTCTGCAACCTGGTAGTCACATGAATCATTACTGGGCATAACTACATGCCAGCCTGAATCTTGCACAGCATACAAAAAACTCATCAATCAAATAAGCTTCATCTTGGTCTTGGCCTTGCTACATCTCCTTGATTGCTCACCTGAATCCTGCCCCTAGCATGTGGTCTTGGCCTCCCAAACTCTTCAGCCACAAGCTGCTTTCTTCCTAAATTCTTACTGAGAGAGTTTGCTATGTAATGTCTTCATCTGGGTTGTGTTGAAATCTCTCAATTTCCAACTTTCTCATCTCTGGCCAAGGTGGTTACCCACGGCGTGGCAAGTGGCTTGCAAGGCGCCCATGACTGTCTCGGATGGCTGGCCAGTGGCCGTGGCTGTGCTCGCCATGGCACTCCTGCACGCCCTGCAAACAAAACCTGGACAGATGTGGTGACGAGGCTGGAGGGCGCCGCAAAAGAAGGGCCACGCTATATGTACCTCATGACGCTCCTACTGGGAACTCCATTGTGTAATCGTCCTCAATTGTTGGAATGACCGACGCCACGAACAGACCAAGCAGGGAAAACATAAAAGGGGGTTCTGTGACAACAAAATCGCGATGGGATGAAGCTTCCCAGCCATGTGTGGATGGTCCTCAATTGTAAATGTCCAAGAGAAGAATGACTTGTCCATCTAAAACTAAGAAGACGATGTCGATATATTTATTTCTGGCGTGATAAACTTTGATCCTGAGCTCTTCTTCGAAGATGTCAGTCAACATCATGCCCGTCGCACGATGAGCTTTTCACTAATTCCTGTCACTCTGCTTCGTCCACTGCAACACTGTAGAGAGGGCTACGAGAGGTCAGCTTGTGTCTGCATCGAAGGGCAGCCGCATTGCTCGAGAGAAAGAGTGGAGGATCGCCTTTCCAATCGATTTTAAATATCTCCAAGGTTCTTGCTAGAAGTTGCAAGAACAAAAAGGAAGAAAAATACAAACATGACACTAAAACATAAAGCAGAGCTGAAAAGGATACAGACCAAGTTGCCCCTACGTACCAGATATCATACCTTACCTAGATGTCCGTTCGCCTGCCTGTTCGCCTGCAGTTCTTCATCACGTCTTGCTTTCCCCAGCAATCGCTTCCTATCAACTTCCGCTATCAACTTCTCAGGACTAAGTGGATCACATGCCTTCTCGAGCAGGGCAACGTCTCTGGCAGTAGCTTCATACCACTCTTGGGACAAAACCTCCGTAATCAGGGCACCGCCAAAGCCAACCAGCTTAACATGCAGCTTCCCAGCCTCGTCGACTTTGCTCACAACCTTGGACGTGTTGATGTCGCGGATGGCAATCCCACGCTTGTGGATCGCGCGCAAGCACTCCATCGCCTGCTTCAGAGTCTCCCCCTCGTCACTTAAGATGAACTTCGAAGGATTGGAGCACTGCTCGAGCTCGCTGAAACCACCGTCGGTCATCATAACGAAGACGAACATCGCCCCCTTGAGGAACCCCCACGACAGAAGCTTGGGAACCGCAGAGCCCTGTACGTTCTTGAGCCTCGTGTAGCAGTCCACCTCCTTAGCAAGCTTGGCGAGACCGAGATTGATACCAGCCTTGAACTGGCTTGTCAAGTCCCTGATCTTCACCACCACGTCTTGTCCAGCATACTTCGCTCGAACAGCAAACACCGTCTGGTTAGCGTTGCCATCGCGATGCAGCGGTAGCGTATCCACTTGCCTCAGATCTTCGAACTTGAATCCATCGTCCGTGACTGCCTTGTCGACGATCTTGCGTGGATCGATGTTGCTCAGCTTGCACACGAGCTCCAAGATCTCAAGGACGGGAGAGAAGTCGAACTTGGGCAGCACGCTCCTCACGCCCGTCAGCGGTGGCAGTCCTTCCTTCCTCGCCACCTCCACTGCGAAGCCGAGCGCCATGAGCGGATTGTTCATGGCGGGCGACGAGACCAGGAGCTCATTCGCCGTAGCCCTCTTGCACAGCCACGACGAGTTGAGATTCGTGAGCACCCCAAAGCGAGCTCCCGTGATCTCCATGTAATTCACGAGCCTGTCTTGCACCAGGTCCAGCTTGTCGGGCAAGTTGAAGAAGTCGAGCAAGAAGAGTAGGACTGGAGTGGCGACGCCCCGGCGGAACAAGCATCCTTCCGGCCTCGCAATGGTGCCTGACTCGAAAGATCCAAAGATTTCCTCGTGGTTGTCGCGGAAAAGACCTACCATTTGCGAGAGGTAGTTCCAGTAATAGATCGTGAAGAAGGAGTAGAGAGGGGGTCGATCGGGCAGCTGACCATACCAAGACTGGATGTCCGCTTCGATATCCCACCTCCCTACACTATAGCCGCCACGATGCATCAAGTCGCCAAGCGGTGCTAGTGGCCCCATAATCAACAACTTCTTGACAGGGTCGGGAACCTTGGGATACGGCATCGTCATGGCGTGCTTGAGAGGTACCAGGGGAAGCCGCGCATGGAAGGTAAGCAGTGGATGCTCCTTTTCCTCCACCATTGTCGAAAACCAAGAACCCTGAGTCTTTCTGCTTTTTTAAGAACTGAGGCGTTGGAAACTAGCTTTGAGGGCCCCTTGTGTTTTTGTAGCAGCATGCCGGTTAGATTACAAAATATAATACATTTAAGACATTTTATAAAACTGATTTTGGAGTATTTTCTCATAACTAATTGGATAATTTGGATCTCTTAAATACAGTACAAATAGAAAATCCATAAAAAGAAAATTTTAAAATGCATTGTGAAGTTTAAGTGTATAATTACAATGCCATATACTAATATTAGCGTAATGGGATTTTGGTAACTGTTAGCAATCTGAACCACTCACTTTTATATATAAGGTAAGATTTTTGGGTTAATTTAGATGTATATTTTCTATATTCCCTTTTCATATTCCATGCACTCACATTGGTGGAAATAAGGGGTAACTTTGATTGTCCTTAAGAAGTGTTTGGATTTGGGATTTTGATTTAAATTTTGCTTTTTGCATCGTCTAAATTTAACTTTTTCCATTTCCTTTCTTTTGTTCTTTTCTTTTAAGATTTTGGTTTACATCTAACTTTTTGCATTGTTTAAATTTCCCTTTCCTTCTAGCTTTTTTTCATTTTTCCTCTTTTTCATTGGTAGATTAGCAATTTCCTCCTTTGACTCTGGAGCAGCAGTTGATACAATTGTTTGATGCTATGTGATTGCAATTGAACAACTAAACTCAGTTGATGGTGGCATTCATGGCACGTGGTACAACTTCTTTTGCTGTTGGTGCCAATCTTTGCGTTTCACCAGAATTCTTTCGCGGGAATCCCGAGGATGATGTGTATCATTGGTTCAATCACTTCACGGTGATTGCCACATATCATGCTTGATGTGAGTTTCCCTCATGTGCGTGAGTTTGCCACATGTCTTTAAGGGATGGCATTGCAGTGGTACAATGGTTTGAGTGCAGCCACTCATGGGGATTGGAGTGTTCTCCTGGACATTTTCAAACGTGCATTTGGACATGCTGACGATTGTGATGATGCCTTCCAACAATTGCATCATCTTTGTCAAGGGCCATTTGAGTCGATGATGCAATTTGGCATTTGCTTCTGAAGCCTCTTGCTTTGGGCAGAGCCAAATATGTCGGAGTGGATCAAGCTAGGAATGTTATGGCCAGCACTTCGTCAAGATTTTGTCATACATGCATTTGCTCTTGCCACTCTTGACGATGCTCTTCATTTAGCACAACATTATGAGACATCGCCTCTTCCACTTCTTATAGCACATCCTTCAACTCCACTTCTTATGGGTGATGGTCTTGTTCCAATGGAGGTTGATGCTGCTGCTGCTCAAGTCTAATGACAAGGGCGAGGCCGTGGTCATGGCTGTGATGTTCATTGCTGGGCGTGTGATAAAGTTAGTCACACTTATTAACATTGTCGATGTTTTCCAGATTGGCAGCCACCATTTCCTAGGTGGACACCTTAGCGTCAACAATGTCCTGTTGGTGCTACTGCAGTGGAAGGTTTGGACACTGAGATGCATTTGAGAAACGAGGAGTCACATGAGTAACGGAGGGATCTTGTGCGAATAAGTTAGTGACCCCTCCATATTTCTTTTGGGAGTATTATTGTCGCGAATGTGACTTTGGGTATTGAAAGTTACCTGTCGACTAGTCCTTACGGACACTCTTACCTTACTGCCACGATGGCAGGAGGTCGGTATTACTGGTTCCCTTTATCAACCCTTCTTGTTCAAGTGTTAGTTTACTGGGCTTAGCATCTGTACTTAGCCAGATGGACATAAGGTAGGAACTCCTATGTGTTTCTAGCTGAGCATACTCGGCCTGGCTCTTAGTTCTCTTTTGCTCTGTCTTGCACTAGCTTGACAAGAACCCTCACGTATTGATTGGTCCCTCAATATCGCTACATGATAGCTTACCGTGTTTGCTAAACATGCTCGCTATCATGCCCTTAGCGTTGGTCTCATTTCGGTCCCAAATGCTATTTATGGAAAGTGCCCAGATTTGCTCATTTGGCATATCTACGGAATGTAGAGATCGGCCTGAACACAATGGTGTTCGTCCGTGTCTAAATTCGCAATCTAGCGCCATTCCATATTTAGTAAGTTTCGAGCTTGTCCCAGAGACTAACTCTTGATACTAAGGGAGGCTTGGGCGTGTTCCTCAAGGGGGGGGGGGGGGGTAGGTCGGGCATGGCCGACCAACCTAAGGCATAGTTTAGCTTCCGCTTGCATGCCTGTCCTTGTTCTGCGTCCGGCTTGGGTCTAAGCCCAAGTTCCACACCATGCTAGCTGGTGGAGTACCCATGTCCTCGCGTTAGGCCACCGGTATGCCGAAATAGTGCCAGACTTTGTTTGGCTCCGTTTTGCTTGTTGGTCCTAGCATTGGGATGCTGATTATTCTAGGACTATTCCAAGTCGCTCCGGGCTCCTGTCCCTTTGCTCCTTGGGCTTTATGCTCGGGAGTTGCTCCATAGTTCGGTTCCGTCACTCCTTGGCTTCGTGCTTGGGAGTTTGGCACCGTTCCTTTGTTCAGTGGCCCAAGGCCTTGAACCTCAAGTTCCTACTGACACGTGGCATGGACACATGGCATCTGTCACGTGGCACAAAGAGGGTTAGGTTCCACTTTGTGGTGTTATCCTATGGTAAATCACCATAGGATAAAGGGTCAAAACCACGTGCGCTACAATTATCAAGGGGTTCACTCGGCACCAGTTCATCCAGTATTTACTTTCTAAGCTCGTTTTTATAACAAGAGGTCTCCTATTATTCTCTCTGTGTTGGTTGATACAGGTTTTTGCTTGACTTGTTGCTGTGAGACACAAAATCCCTAGGCCCAAAAGTGGAGCCAGAAGGGTGCCACGTGGTAGTGGCCGAAGCGAAAGCCAAACGAGTGTAACATGTTTGGACTAAAAGCTCCGACTTCAAAGGTCGAGAGCGGGAGTGGAACTCCCAACGAAGGGCTCAAAGAACAAGCATGAAGTGAGCAATAAGTGAAGCTCCAAAAAGATACCCAAAAGGACCAACAAATGACACGTGGAGGAGTTTGAGATGGACCCGAGTTGGAATCTGAGGTGGACCCAAAATGGAGTCTGAGATGAAGTCTGAGATGGACCCGAGTTGGAGTCCGAGGTGGACCCGAGATGGAGTCCAAGATGGACCCGAGATGGAGTCCGAGATGGACCTGAGTTGGAGTCCGAGATGGACCTGAGATGGAGTCCGAGATA